CCCCAGCATGGACACCGACCTGTACGATGAGTTTGGGAACTACATCGGGCCGGAGCTGGACTCGGACGATGACGACGACGAGTTGGGCAGAGAGTCCAAGGATCTGGATGAGGTGAGCGGTGGGGACGGGTGGAGGGGCGGTATCGGGCCTCGTCCTGCCCCGTACCCCCACGGGAGCAGGGGCTGAGCGCCTCGGTCTTCGCAAGCTGCCAGTGATTCCTTTTCCACGCCGGGCTGTGGTTCTGCAGTGAGGCTTTGCTCACTGGTGGGATTTGACTCCTGAGGATCAGAGTGGATTCATTTATTTAAAAGATTTGGCAAAAGCTGCCCTCCTGCTCCTGCCATGAAGGGAAAGCCAACGCTTCTGCCTGAACCATGGTTAGAACTGGGAGCTTCTGTAGCTCAAGCCACGTTGGGCTTTTTCATTTGCGTTCAATCCAATGGAGGATTCGTGTCCATTCTGTGAGGTCTTCAGGCCTTTAGTAGCATGTGCTGATGCTACGGCAGCATTGCAAGGAGCTCAACTCCCACGTGGCGAAGGCAGAGCAAGACTCCACAGACAGTAGAGGAGAGTGATGAGGGGGAGGATGGCAGAAGCTGCTGTGCCATGATGGGGAAAGCATTGGAGGACCGAGGGAGCCCCTTCTAGTCCCCTGTTCCTGCAGTTCATCTAAAAGCAGTGTCTGTGTGTGATCAGGGTCATGTCGTGTATGCGAGCGAGGGGCAGGAGTTGCTGCAAGTGCTCTTAGTGTTCATTTCCAAGCTGTCCCACAGCAGGAAGAGGGGTGATGCTTACAGAGGGCACCTCTGCAAGCTGCTCTGCTGTCTGACGTGAGATGCTGGGGCCATGGTGGTGGTTCCCTGGCTGGGTTTGTAGCTCTCTTGCCATGTATGGCTCTGAGCCCATACTTTCTGGGGTGATGGGTGTTTGTAAAGCACTTGGGTGCCGGCAGCAGCTAAATGTGAGCGTTGGTTGCAGCTCGAGGATGATGACGATGATGATGATATGGGGGACCATGATGAGGACCACCCTGGGATGGAGGTGGTGCTGCACGAGGATAAGAAATACTATCCCACTGCCGAGGAGGTGTATGGGCCTGAAGTAGAGACGATAGTACAGGAGGAGGACACGCAGCCTCTCACTGGTAAGTGGTGAGGAAGCAGCAAGTCAGGTATGGGGGGAGGAGAAAAGTCTTTGTGGATCCTTGGAAAAGGGAAAATAATATTCCCTTCCATTCTCCCCATCGGTTTTAATGCTCCTTTTGGATTCCCTCTCAGCCCCAGGAACGCGTAGACTCTTGCTTGTCTGGCGGTGTGCAGATTTTGGCACTCAGGATGATTACAAATGCCAAACAAACGTATCTTTTGAAGAACAGGTATCAGCAGATAGTGGAAAGATATTTAAGGAGAAATGAAAATGTGTTTAAGTCATCTCATTTGATCCTTGTACAAGAGAATAGTTCAGCTGGAAGGGACCTGCAACGATCATCTAGTGTGCAGCTGCTTTTATGAAAAGCTCAGAGAACCTGTCAGCTTGAAAATTGTGGTTTTGCCTGCAAAAGCCCCTGTTCCCTATGACCATTCCTGAGCCTGCTGGGTTCAGGGTCTCTGGTAACAGTGTTTTATTGTTCTTTCTCTTGTTTTCAGAGCCTATTATTAAACCTGTGAAAACCAAAAAATTCTCTCTGATGGAACAGACGTTACCGGTCACTGTCTATGAGATGGAGTAAGTAGGGGTTTTAAGCGTGTATGTTGGCTCAGGCCATCTGTGCTGTGATTTCCTCACTTTTTGTGGTTTGCAGGCAAAGGTGGGGAGGCAGAGTGCTGTGTGCTGTGTGGAGGAGGTGGATTTCGGGGGGCATTGGTTTTGTTTCTTACTGACACCAGCAACAGAACTGAGTGCAGCCGTTTCCCATATTTTGAACCAAAAAGAAGGTGAAGAAAGTACAAGACAAACCATTTTACAGATATTTTTCCCTCCATGTAATGCAGCGTATTGCATAGTTTTCTGACACTAGAATGATAGAATCATAGAAACGTTTTGCTTGGAAAAGACCTTTAAGATCATCAAGTCCAAATCTTACCTTGACGGCTGATGCAAAGCCTGATAATCGGAAACCCCTGTGGTGTGGATTAGCTGAAGGCAAGTTTTATTGACTGGCTCAAGAAATATTTGTACGGTCGGTGTGTGGCACACCTCATACTGGGACATTTTGGGTTGATCCTAGTGACCATTGGCCTACTGCTGTCTCAAATTAATCCCCACCTATCCTGGAGGAGTTTCTGGGGGGAATTTTTATGCCACCGGTTGCATGCAAAGTTGTGTCATAGGTCAGTGTAATGCTGCAGCTGGTTGTGCCCCACAAAGCAGCCCCTGGGAGACCAGGGTTAAGAGAGAAAACCCTGGAAAAAATTCCAAATTTAAAACCCCAGATATAATATCTCATGCAACTTTGGAAAGGAATAAAACCAGTTGTTTACTTTATTAGAAATATATAATGTTAGCATCAAGATCTACATTTTGTCGATGGGCGGAGGGACTCTGAAAACAGTGTTTCTGTATGGTGTCTTCTATTTGAGGATGAACAGATTGAGCTGGTCTTGTTAGGCTCATCTTTCCACACGCCACTTCATGGCTAGTCAGAGCTTTTTTTATGATTTTCAATAGTCGCCTTCAAGTGTAGATTCCAGAAACAGTTGCAGGCTGAGTAGCAGTTTCCTGGGTGCCAAACAGACCCCAACGTCAGCAGTCTCTCTGCAAATCAAGGATCCTGTGATTTTTCCGGCAGCAAAATTTCACTGGAGTTCATCTTCAGTCAGTTGGTTACTTGGATGCCCAGCACCTCAAGTTGTGCCAGGGCAGGTTTAGGTTGGACATTAGGAAAAATTCCTTCCCCAAAAGGGTTGTCAAGCACTGGAAGGGGCTGCCCAGGGAAGGGGTTGAGTCCCCATCCCTGGGGGTATTTCAAAGCTGGGCAAGTGCTTAGGGCCAGGGTTTAGTGGTGGGATGGCAGGGTTAGGGTAACGGTTGGTCTTGATGATCTGAAAGGTCTTTTCCAACCTAAATGATTCTATGACTATTTTGCAATGGCTGCTTGTAGGGCCTGGCCCCAATACCATTGGTTTGGCCGTGTTTGTTGATCAGAGATATTTTTGATACAGCCAGATATAAACCAAAAAGCCATCTGGGTCTTATTTTTCTAAGCAGTCCATTTTGCTCTTAGTCAATGACCCGTACTCTTCATTATCTACCACTTTCCTGATCCCTCTGTCCTCTGCTCGGTCTATCTGTAATTAATTCCTCTTCATCCTGTTTGTTGATATAAATGGTAGGATGGGGCCAGGAGAATTCCTTGTGGCACTTAACCAGAAACGTGCAAGCTTGGTATTGATTTC